GTCTGTCCCAAATATCATTTGTAACACAATACATAATAGATAATTCTTTACTCAACTTGTTCTTATTCCTTCCAATTCCAAGATTATTTTTTATAGGAATTGAAGGTACATTATGCATGGATATATCATCATGAATTCGTAGTCCCGAAGATGAGTGGTAATTTCTTGAGAAATAATACTAGGATTAGTCAATTTTATAGCTTTTTTTTTATGTGGTTGGTTATCAAGTCCACAAGTTCTTATAATTGTTGTTGTTATAACTTGAGGTATTATAGTCAATGGCACTGCAATCTGAATAGGTGTATTTTGAGCCTCATTAATAAGAACTCTTGTAATTCTAGATGCATCATTGAAGCCACCAAGTATTTCATCTGTGATCCGTTTTAGATACAAAATCTTAGCAACTTCAGTTTCTGCCAAAGATGTCATAGGATTGGGATTCATTGTAAATATTTTTGGTGCTTCAAATATGAGTACTTTATTTCTTTGTTGATTGAATACTCCTCCTTGAAGAGATGGGAATACATTTTCTTCAAAACGGTAATTTTGCAAACGTGTACGTAATAATGTGCTAGTTGATGGATCAATAATACGAATAATGCTTGGTGAATCAAAACCAACATATATGCGTTCTAGTTGATGAGCTCCAATGGTACGTCATTGAGGTTCTGGTACTGGAATCCATGCACGGCAACCAAATACTTGTAAGTGAGATACATTTGGAACACGATCCAAAATGAGCTCATGTGGTGAATCAATTTCAAAAAAAGAAGGGCGGAGGTATATTAATGCTGCAGCATGTAAAACTGCATGACTCCACACAGATGTAGGTAAATTTGCGTGAAGGAGGAGTGGCCGGGTTATGAATTGTATATGCTTTATAAATAACTCTACAAGTTCATTTTTAGCATGTTCATATGGAACACAATATATCAACTCAATTCCTATTGCAGTACAATATTCTTCAAAAGACTTTGATGCAAATTCTTTTACATTATCTATATACAATGTTTTTATAGGATAATCAGGAAAATGTGCCTAAAAATGAATAAGCATAGATATAAGATTGGCAAACACCATGTTTCGAGTTAATAATAAAGAAACATGTGATTGTTTACTTGATGCATCAACAAAGACAAAAAATAAAAAAATAGTCTTGATATTGGATTAATAGGACTACAAATATCACCATGCAATCTTTCAAGCATTGGTGGTAATTCTTGTGGAAGTTTCCAAATTGAAGGCCAAGTAATCATTTTACCTTGCACGCATGCATGATATAATTCCATAGAGTCTACATCTATAGGCTTTAAATTGTGCCCAGTTATACATAAAATAATCTTTCTAAATAATGTGGATCTTGGATGTTCCAATCGTCCATGCCAGAGAGAAACACAACTCTCTGTGATAGATGATGCAAAATTAAATATAATGGGAGGCTGAATCACAATTTGGTATGAACCATTTTCTATAGCAACAGCTTTTTCAACAACTTTATGGTTCTTTGCAAGAATCAAAACCTCTTTTCTATTTAAAATGGCAGTCGAGAGGTGATAACCATTAATACGCACATCTCGGTAGCTGATGAGACTCCAAAGTGCTGAGGGTGCAAACATTGCATGTTTACATTTTATGATGGAATCCGCAGGTAATTTTACCATCGCTGTGCCCTCTTAGAAACAAAATGCAGTTGTTCGAGCCATGGACATCATATTTTTAGTTTGCCAAGTTGAAGATTTTTCAATAAAAAATCATCTATCTTGCAAGATAGTATGTGTTGTTGCAGAATCAATGAGCACATCATTTGATTCATCACTAGAGGTTTTGTCATTCATATAAGCCTCTAAGACATTCATACCAATTGAATCCATCGATGCATCCATGGTATGAACTTCACAAGCCTCAGCTTATAGTTTCTTATTTTCTTAGAACATTTTAATAAAATATTCTAAAGTATGGCACACATATGCTAAATGTCCAATCATTCCACACTTATGGCAAGAACAGATCTCTGTTTTTTTTTTTTTTTTTTTTTTTTTTTTTTTCTACTATAGTTAATAGTAGAACATTTATTCTTTCCATCTAAATAGAAATAGTCATGACTATGACTACCCTGATACTTATAAGCTTGTTTTCGATGTTTATACAATTTTTTCTTAGATTTTGAAATATTAAGTGCATGAAATTCTGGAACTATAGTTCCAATAGGACGAACTTCCGCATTGCGTAAGAGTAGTTCATTTTGCTTCTCCACAAGAAGTAGATAGGACATGAGATCAAAATGACTCTGAAATTTCATGTTCCTATATTGTTGTACAAGCACAGCAGATACAAGAGGAAATGTACAGAGAGTTTTTTCAATCATTTCTTCTTTAGAGATGCTTTGTCCACATAATCGTAATTGTGAGACAATACTATAAATTTCACTATTGAAAGCATTTAAATTTGGAAAATCCAAGACTTGTAAATGTGTCTAATTATGACGTGCATGTGGAAGGAAAATGGTCTTTTGATGATCAAACTTGGATTTAAGATTCTTTCAAAGTTCTGTAGGATCTTCCATTTCCAAATATTGATGTTGTAATGTAGGTACAAGATGACAATGAAGGAGAAGAAGTACATTCCAAGAAATAGTAGGAAGAATAGAAATACTTATTGTATGAGATTCTTCAAATATAATGGCATCCGAGAGTTGTTCTGCAAATAAATTTGTTTTTGCCATTTTTGCCCATAATAGATAATTGTTTTCATCCACAGTCAGTGGTGGAAATAAAAGAGCTTGAAAAAAGTTGGAATGCATTGGTAATAATTGGAACCATAATAGAAGTAGTTGAAGATGTTGAAGCATTCATTATAAATAAATATACAAAGAAAATATAAAATCAAGTAGAAAAGTTGAGTAAAACGTACCTTAAAATATAAAGTCAAATAAAATGTTAAACTTAAATTAAAAAACAAAAATATTATTATTATTATTATTATTATTATTTATTTTTTTTATAGAGAAATTATGGATTAAGGCAACAGAACAATAGTAGGATGACGGCAGCAGGCAGCAGTAGGCGGCAGGGTAGCAATGGCAGCGTCAACGGTGGTAGGATGGGCGACAGGGTGGTGGCAGCAGTAGGTTTGGTGGTAACTCGGTGGCTGTTTGGCGGCAAGCGCGGGATGCAGCAAGAGCAAGGTGAAGCTCGGTTGGATCAAATATTCTAAATAAGTATTCTAAGTAAGCAGGATAGAGAGTAGAACAATTGCTCTAAGCAAGCAAATGTGTGAGGGGCCAGCAAGAAGAGCAACAAGATCATGAGGCAGACATTGAGGAAGTGTAGCAAGAATAGTCAAGACTAGAAGAAAAAATAATTGTGATAGTATGTAGAAGAGAATCGTGTTGATAACGAGTTGAGAATGTTTAGAAAGACACAAGAGTAATAATAAGTCATACACACACACACAAGAGTAGTAGTAAGTCATATACACACACAAGAGTAGTAGTAAGTTATACATACAAGAGGGTTTTTAAGGAGAGAGAGTTTCACACATAAAATTCTATTGATTTGGTTGTGTCTCATATACAAGAAGTGAAAAGGGGAGAGGATAAACAATACTTCTCGACTAGACTCTAAATATTATAGCTATAGTATTTATTGTAGTCTACAGTAAATATTATGGAGAGCGCTGGCTACATTTAATGATCTGAACCGAGAGCATGGGTTTTGTGGGTGCATGTCACTTGCAATAATTGTGCAGGAAAATAAGTAACACTTTATTAATAAATTAGTTTAGAACTACAATCACAAGAAAATTTTGGTCAAAACACTCTCAAGTGTGTTTTAAATTGTACAAATATCAAAATATTTACTTAAAGATCCATTTAGAATTCAGGGCACGTGACAAATGCATTTTAAGATTCTTTTAGAAGGCAAGCTGAAATGATTTTATGGACCTTCTTAAGATCCATTCAGAATCCAGGCCACATATCAAAAGGATAAAAGCTTTAGATTGAAGAAAAACTTGATTTCATGTAGAATTTTAATGTTGCAATATTTCAAAATATAGGTCCAAAGTTCAAATTTGTGGTGTTGGTATTGAACTTTTTTTGATAATGAAAATACCTACAGATTTAATATCTAAGCACAAAGGACTCTCATGAGTTTATTATTTAAAATAAGCCACAACTTAAAGTTTTTACAGCACAAACTTGTTGTTTAATGAATAAGACCTTTCTAGTGGATATAAATAGCCCATTCCCCATGATCCAGTTCATAAAGCATATCATGAACACATTCATTTCAAATCAAATTTTTGGTTCATCTTTAACAAGAATTGAGTTAAGAGACTGTTCAAGTCATAGATTAGATCATAATCACAACTTTTCTGGAATCTGGACATTACAAATTTCACACTTGTCCAGTCATTGGGACAATGACTTCAAGGGATCTATTGGTGAGAGGCAGCTTTTTAGTAACTAAAGTTTGATTATAAAAAGAGGGTGGAATGCACTTTCTTTTCAAATTCTGCGAAGTGGACAATGATATACTCTTGCCCACATGACACCATTTTGTCACCACCATCAGGGTTGGTGGAAGGTGATGATGCACACCTACTGTTTAATCACAGCAAACCAAAGTGAAAATTCACCTACTGCAGTTTGAAGGAGACACTCTGAAGTTCATGGTTGCCAACAAGACATGGAAGCCATGGATTGCTGTGGAGTGAGAAAGACAATGTTTTTCGATGATAATATGACTGGCCCTTTTTGTCCTCTTTTCACATCACCACTCTCAAATTAACCTATCATTTATGCTTCTGACATGGACATTGAAAGGCTGCTTTTTCAAACCTCTGTAGAAAAGCACATACAGAACTACATCCATCACATCTGGTTCTGGACAGTAGTATGTTGGGTCAACACCAACTGGTCCCCCTTTTGGAGAGGTACTAATTTGCACTGCTAGATGCATGTACCAAAGTTGGTGCTGAATATTTGGGCAGACAGAATGGACCTAGAGAACTGGCACTTGTTTGATCATCCAAGCAGGAATTATGGCTTCAGAACAATCATCCACTTGTTACCTGTGAATTAATATGCACTATGGCAGTGATATACTAAATGCAGAGGAAGCTGTGCTGGCCATCCAGTGAAAGATTTGGTAAGAATGGATAGGATGCTACCATGTATGCAGCTTGAAGCCCATTCCAATTATTAGACGTCTTAATCTATGCATACTAATTGGAGGAAATCGTATTTTTGAAGAAATCAGTGCCTCACTCCATCGTACATACACGAATATTATTTCTGACTGAAAAGCCAGTGAAATACACAACAAAAAACTTTCCCATATTTGATGATAAACCTCTGAAAATTATTGCTTTCATGTATGTTGCACAAGGTTTGGTATCGGCCCCAGTTGGTGCTCCAGTAACGTACAGATTTTCAAAAGTTCCTCATCTTGCTGTCGTCGACCTACAACCTGCACGGCACAACCCAACGCCAGTTACCAAGTCATCTAATCGGAAAACTTTATAGAAAGAAACTCTCAAATGCAGTACAGCAGAATTTGATCAGGAGGGTTTGTGTCGCATGAGGTAACCCTAAGGCACCTACATCCAAAAACCATACGTACTGAAGGCTAAATAAATGATAGAATCCAGCCTATACATGTTGCGAGTGTCGCTGACAACCATACGAGGAGCCCGAAATGGGTACCTGAATGCCGAGGGGCTTGCCATCTATGACACCAAGAGGCATGGTTACAACTGGGTTGCCTGTAACCGAAAATGGTGTAACGTAACCTGTAAGGGCTCTCCAGTAGGGAACTTCCTTTCCGTTAACAAGGTAAGGACGGTGATCGAAGTTATGCTCATGCGGTAAAATGGCACAAACTGCAACAAGTTTTACACTCTGTTTAGCAGAAAGCATCTTTAGCTGATCTCCGTGTTATCTGTACATTGATCCACTTGATTTTTCCTCCCACACACTCAGTCTACAGAATAAGGTATTCCACTTATGGTCAGTTATCCTGGGCTTCTGTTCCTCTTCTAATATTTACATAAAAATGGAACACAAACTGGTGGAATGCATACATTTAGTTTGATGGTATCCGCGTACAAGAAATCGGCAGTTGTTGAACAAGGGGTGTCACCTGGAGTAATAAGAGCAGCAAATCTGGTCTCTGAAAAGAATGCATCGACGATGTCTTCTTCTTCCCTCTGTGTGTTTGTTGCCTCGTCGAATGTTTGCTTTAGCTTGCTAGTCATTTTCTTATCTCCAAAGTTCAAACCTTCAGTGAATGCCTGCAGCAAGTTATGGTGCCACATCAACACTACTTACGAATTCTAGAGAGGAGCTTTGCTGAGATACTAACCAACATGCAGAGCAGGTGTCCAGCACGAAGGCCTAAACCTTACTCGCAACGCTTTGTTGAGTCGAACCATGCCTAATGAGGGTCCCGACGTTAAACATGCAACCAATCTGGGTACGTTGTCAGAAATTTGAGTAGATTCAAGCAGCCTAGGAATGGCCTCCATAGCATTTCTTATTCTGTCATCAAGAGGAACACCGGAGAAAGATGTCCACACACCAACAGTGTTAGAATCTGTTGATGAGGTGAGTCTTTTATCCTGCAGTTCTTCGCCTTGTATCAATGGAAAGACAGCATCCATTACAAACTTCAGATCAGTAACCGTTTTCTGCGCACGCACATACACACACATTTAGACACTACCTTTGAATCCAGATTTCACGTCCTAACTTCTGGCGGCTAGCCTCTCTAAATGACATTAAAATAATATATATATATATATATATATACATATATATATATATACTAGATGCAAAGTTTGCTGGTCTTAAAAGTGTCGTCAATATCTTTATAACAAATCATAATCCAAGGCGTTGCTCCAATATCGTAGTGTGAGCGCACTTACTGCTAAGATACCTGTGACCAGCACTCCACCAGTAAGGCTTTTCACATGACCCGGAAAAGGAGGAATTATGCCATCATCTTCTTCATACCCCATCCTTCCTCTTGATGCTCGTAACGAGCTCACACCACAGAAAGCTGCCTACACAGATTGACCTAGACATGAGCTCGGCGTAAAATTACAAAGTCTGCATTACAACATGAAAATAGAAAAACAACAATTTCCAAGCTGTGAAACCTAGACTTGCTAAGCAAGCACCTCATTGCTTCATCCCTGTTTGCCACCCTAATAACCTGAAATGGTTCAAGTTGCAGGTATTGACCTGAAGAAACGAACTCAACAAGAATAAGTTTTCAAGGTGATTGATATCATATGAATAATTTAAAGCACAGTTTTCAAACTTCCTAATTAATCAGCCTTAAAAGCAGGTAGAAGTGGTAATTTATCTTTTAACATTCAAGACGTCAAAATTCACGTAGCCCTATTCATGCTTGTTAAACCAACTTGCAAAGAAACTGGTAACACTCACAGGAATACGTAAGGACCCAGCCCAGTCAGATCCAGTGGCAAATGCTGCCATTCCTGCCGCTACAGCAGCTGCAGAGCCTGCACGAATGCCAACAACATTACACTTGTTTGAGATAACTTGAAGCATTTGTGTAGTGATTTTACTCACTGCGGAATATGAGCTGCCCTAAACCACTTTAAGCTTGAACAAGGTAACTGTACTGAAATTTCTAAATTTAACTCCTGTATGTTTTGTTTCAACATATTTTAAATAATAGACCTTAGGCTCAAAATCAAAAAGTGAAATTACGTGCAGCGCTGTTTAGAACGTAAGAACTCTTGAACCGTAATATCAAGCACAAAGTTCAACAAGTGACAGAGGTTCATGACAACCTCCTGAGCTGCCCCCAGCTGAGAGCTCTAGGTTATGTGGGTTGCAAGTTCGCCCATAGACTTCGTTAAATGTTTGTACATCTTGCCCAAGCTGCATCCACCGAGGCCTCACATTACTATTAACATATGTGCCACAGTACACACCTGGGTATAGGTGTGTAACCAGGTGTGTACATTTGTATGATTTCATGAGATCGAAAACTTCAAGTTTAAGACAGTGAACTGGTGGCATCCACAGAACCCAAAGATTATGCACATGCAACACTAGCTGATGGGATGATACTCACGTATGGAATATTCGTCTTGCCGATTGGAATTGCGCCCAGTTGCCTGAGTATTGCCACATGCTTGCTATCCTTGTCTGCTGGAGGATTTCCCACGAACTCAAGACCCCCACAAACCGTATGAAAGCCTTCGACATCAACGTTATCTGCTCAACATGGCCAAATACTTCGGTGACTCCACAGTTCAGAAACAGAAGCCAGTTACTTGCACAGAAAAAAAAAATCGTTTAGAAGAATGTGCATTCACGTGGCGAATATATTATTGACACTCATGTGATGAAGAGGAGTCCTCAGGAATCATTTGTTTAGAAGCGTCACTAAAGAAATTTTCCTTTTGTTTGTAACACAAGCTGAGGAGAAGAAACGAATGGAACGGATCAGCACCTTTCACTAGAAACGGGAGGCCTTCAAGAGATCTGGGACTGGTTTGGTTATCAGGAAATGGAACTTCAGGAACACATGCACTTGATTCTACAACAGCATTGATCTCGCCGTCAAATTGCCATATGCGTGACATGTAATGCTCCACCAGCTGCCATCACTCATCAGTCAGCCATCGCACCCAAACCAATCGCAAGATTTTTTTTTGAAGAATAGACATGTGCATCCCCATCATAGACCCGTGATCAGCCTACTAAATCTCGAAACGAAAGAGGTGAAATCCAAATTGCAATGGAGCAGCAAGGATTATATAGAGGCGTGCTCACCCCTGGAAAAGCAATTTGTTCTGCCAAGGGACGCTTGTGCACCATGGTCGCCATCTCCAAGCCTGCAGCACTGCCTCGCAACCTTCGGAACCCCAAACCCTCACGAATCTGAAATTTTCGCAAAACTGCAACACGCGGTGGAAAGTTATCAGAATTCTCGAGATGGACAGAAAAGTAGAAAATCCTTGCGGCATAACGTCACCAAAACCCAACTGTCGAACCCAACCATAGCACATACACGTAAACTCTATATTCCAGTTCCGCAGAAATTCCAATTAAAGGCGCAATTCACTCACTTCAATTTCTCCACAACTTAAATGCGCCGCTCGAATTTCTAGCAGCTAAGAGGAGCATCTATACAAATTGTATTACTATCTACAGGGATAAGCCCAAGATGCCGAGTGTTGTAATCGACGCAAAAAACTCAACTTCCGCAGAAGATTTCCGGGTATACGTGAATCAGGGTATCAATCGCGAGCTGGCGAGCTTCTGCATGATGAAAGGAAGGGAGAGGTATGGCTGGGGACGTTGAAACGAGCCTTTATCCTCGAGACGTTATTTGGTCTCAGAATCATGTCTAATGCAGCAGAATTGGCGATGTTTGGCTTGGAGTATTTTGTGGTTAGTTTAGATGTTTTGCAAACAGATTACAAGTAAATTACTCGAATGTAATCTGTCATGATCATTGCGAATTAGGGTTGGATCAACTCCGAAGTTATTCACTTGCTCTACTTCAGAACATTCAAAGCCAATGTGGAATCATAATGCGCAGCATGTAGGAGACCAAGGTGTTACAAAGGACAGAGCATGATCAGTGCAGGCCTGTTGAGTAATTCGAAACTATGTGAGTACAAAGTTGACAGAAAATTGACAACCTCATGTTCAACGAACGCTACTCGTAATCCTGTGCCGCACGGTCAAGTTGCCTGAGAGTGTATTATGTGATAGACTTTCGCAGTGAGAATGTCGCCGCAGCAGCTGTTGATTCACCGTCGAAAACTCTTGCATCTCCAAAATTTTCCGATCCTATTGCAAGCACTAATCTTAAGCCGTTATGGAGCGGCTTCGGTCATGGCTTGCACACGGAACTACGATGCAACACGGAGTCGAGAGCTCAAGCATGTGACGGAGATGGCAAACAGGCCATTAATGCACTTTAAAGGATGCGGCCTAAAAACCCCTAATCTGTATAATCCTCAGCAAAGCCCAAATCCTCGGGTTGCAAGGGCTCAGACACGAGCTCTCTTTCCATTTTGTCAGATACAGAGACAGCAGATTTCTTGGTCTGAATTTGCCTGCGACGAATGTAGCTTCCCAAACAGCCATTGATGATCCTCGGTGCGGCAAGGTCGCAAAACCTCTTGGCCAGCTCCACAGCTTCGTTGACCACAACCCGAGGCGGCACGTCCGTGGCCTCGATCTCGGCAAGCGCCATCTGCAGAACACAAATTTGCAGGAGAGCAGCCTTTGGCTGTACTTTCCATTTCAATGGAATGATCTCCATCAAAATGGCTTCCTGCTGCAGCCACCTATAAGCGGTTTCCTTCACCAGAGTGCGAGCTAGCCTGAGGGCGAAGCTATTATACACCAAAGGAGGAGGCGCAGTGAGCACGGATGCTTCCAAGGAAGCTTCTGCGTCCAGAGCTTCTTCAAGCGCCATAGCCGTAGCTTCATCTTCCACCACGACATTTTCCCCTACGTCAGGCCGGTGCTCGTACCCCTCCAGCAGCGTCTTATCAAACGAATTCGCAACCACTCGCTGCTTCACCCTGTCTTCGAACACTTTGAGAGGGTGAACTCCCGACACGAAAGCTGCGTACAACACAGACAACGCGAGCTCTCGCGCGGCGCGGGGAGTACGTAGTCTGCCAAACTTATCGAGCTTGGCGTCGAGATTGCTAGGGGGTTTCGGTGTGAAGGGCTTCTTCGTCCTCGTGAAGACCTTTCTTGGTTTTGAAGAGGAACGGAGTTGCTCCTCCCCTCCTGGTCGACTTACCGCCATCTGAAATACAACCGAGACCCCTCGCTTACATGGAGAACATGGCTGGAGATCGCCTTGCGTCGTCCTCAACCGCTCCGAGAGAAATGCGCTTCTGAATTCCACAGCTGCTTTCGTTCCCACGCTTACAAACGCAGCATGGCTGTGCTGGCGCATCGCCACGGCCGCTTCCATCCCGAACAACCTCTAAAACGACCACTAAATCTTCCCACAGCTCATAAGCAGCTCCTTCTCAACACTATCGCTCTGTAATCACTTCCAAATTCACAACGATGACCGCAAACCTAAACCTCCGAAAGCCTCAAAAAACTCACAAACACAGCAATACCCCCCCAGAATTCCAGAACCGGTTAAACCCAGCAATCCTCGGTGAAGTGTAATGGAATTGTTCGCAATGCCTGCTGAGCCAAATCAGAGGATGAAGCCTGCAAAACCCGGAATCCTGGATAATTGGTGCAGGCAGCAGAAATTCTACAGAGGCACGTCTCTGCAGCATCAGGGAGCAAATGGTTGCTGGGTTTGATGCTAAAACCCTGACAAAACCTCGGAACATTTGCAGTTTGAGGCGCAATTCATCGTCGTGTTGGGGGGGTTGATTGATTGCTGCAAAGGGGCTCATCCACACGAGAGCTTCAAGGATAAGGTAACCGAATTTCGATGAATGAATCAACGCAGGTTCTGGCTTGCGTCTTGCCAGTTGGATGAAGAAATCTCTTATAAAACACGACACCATACAACACAGAATATAGACCCAAGGAACGACTATTTAGTCATGAATTTTGTGACCAGTGAATAGACCTCAGGACAACGTTATGATAAGTCATCAAAAATGTGTTTCAACAGGGCAAAGATTGTTCCATAAACAGATTATTTAATCTAATTCAAGTCGCTTCGAAAACAGCTCGGCAGTCCCTTTGCTCTTCCATACCCTTCCAAAACCTATTTTTCGTGATATTGCAATATGGAGGGTAGCTTGATCAAATTCATGAATCTAAATACTCTTATTTGATGGTTTCATCCACGTTCCTGCAATCTATCCAAGATAGTCAACAATTTTTTATGGTTGATTACATTGCAACCCAGCGAGGGCCGGTGCTTTATTGCGACCGATGAAGGATGAGAGGAGTCCAACAAAATGGAGGATTGCAATGTCCTCTTCTTTTACTATTGAGTCCAAGCCATTCAAACGTAGTACCTCCAACTCAGAACCAGTAGAAGTCGGATCCTGTGGATCTTAGTGACCATCGGTTGGAATGTTTCAATTTGACAACTTACGGCATTAATGCAGAACTGAAGAAGCAACAGGTTGAGGATATTGATGAAAAGTGATTTCACTGAAAATGCATAACTGAGTACCCATTAGAGTAATTGCATCAATAAACAACTCCATCAAATTGAGAGTCTCATCCAATTCTATTGAAGCAGCAACAATCGAATCAATAAACGCAACGTTTCAAAAGAAGGGACATCTTCGAGTATCACAAACAATTACTTCACTTGGATTTGTTTTGATATCGAATTGATCCAACTACTAAGGATGACAAATTTCATTTCATACTCCAGCAGCTGAAACATGAGTTACAACCAGACTAAGAATCAGCATAGCTTGCTCTTGGCTGGCTATGGTCCAATTGAAGTGCTTTGAAGACGATTGGTTAAGCTTGCATCTGGCTATGGCATCATCACCTGCTCAAGACAATTCACCGATCGATATTAGGTCAACATACTACATACATAAACCAGGATAACAAATACATGACAAAAAAAACACAGATCAGAGCTGGGACAAAAATAGATTCTCAGCCGAAGCCTTGGTACCTTTTAAGCCATTAGGCAGCACAAAGGCCTGCACGTCTGATGATTAAAAGTCCACCTGTCGTAACTGTGATCCGACAGAGTGTCAAAAACTCCATCAGTTGTCATCAAATAATCTCTTCCAAGACTCTCCAAGCGCCAAGATTTTTGAGCTTGAATTCAAGACCTATTCCTTATAAAAATGTATTTTCATGCTCTTCATGCCATAGCACTTAACGTCACTTTAGATAACATTCTTATAACGAAGCAAAAAGACAGACTGTTGAAGAATCTCCACAAGGATTGCGAGATTGATGAACTGAAGGAAGAATTCATATAACAAATCAATAGTGTTCTGGGCTTTTACCAGGGTTTAAGCCCATAACATGAGGATACAATTCAAGGAAATACACAATGGTTCAAGGTACTGACATCATTGTGTTTATCAATGTCGTAAATCACCAACAGTCTGATTCGCAAAAAGAGGCTCCCTCCGTGTGGAATAACTAGGATCTGCCGCGGTTGACCGATAGTTCATAGAGCTTTGTCCATAAGCCACAGGCTTGGTGCTGTAGCTGCGCGAAGGCGATTCGTAGCGGTTTCGTGATTTAAGGCTGCCAGCACCATCAAGATTTTCTCGATACCCAAATCCAGATGCAGTAGAATTGGGTGCAATTTGCATCACAAGCTTACTGCTATCTGTAGGCGCTGGATCACGTTTACGACTGAGCAATTGCCAGGCTAATAAGAGGAGGATAACAGAAACAAAAATGGGACTGCTCCAAAATTTGGCATTAAAATCTGGGAGTTTATGCACTGGTAAAGTGGATCGATAGATACCAACATAGCCACCACCAAAGCCAACGACAATGAGCTTGTCACGATTGCAAGCCATCATGGGCAACTTCCCTGCAGCAATAGGCGTGGGAAGAAAGGAAAGGGATATATCATCCAAGGAGGCACTGAAGAGGGGTCGATGGCCAGCCCCACCCCGAATATTGGCATAGCTGAAACCAAGCTGGAGAGTTGTGTTATAAACAAACACACTCTTTGGAGTGGCAACCACCAAGTAGCCTGTAATACCATGTAGTGAGACAGGGCCTTCTACGTCTAATTTTCTCTTGGTAGTTCTGGCATGACATTCAAAGTGAAGCGTGTCTCCGGAAAGGATGACATATACAAGATCGCCCTTTTCTTTAAAACCATATGCCCGAGATCGTCCAGCGGCATCGAATGCATAAGCAACCACAGTAGAGCCATTCAGTCCATCGCAGGGGCAGGTCCGCACAGTCATAGTCCGCAGATCAAGAGAACCACCACCAGTTTTCGTGAGGAATAACAATCGCTGAGTATTGGGTGTTTGCAAAAATGCCAGCGGACGACTTAAGGAATCAGCAACTCCAAACAGAGTTCCATTTTCTCGAAACATTTCCATCTTGCCGTTGGAGTCTGCCACCAGCACATATCGCATCTTACCCACTCTGTACATCTCCAGATGTGTTATCAGCTTGCTTTTGCTCTCAACTCCTCCAAGAACCTCCTCTGTTACCAGAAGTTCAGCTCCCGTTTCAAACATAGCTTTCAGATCATAATTCCCAGTATCCTGGGAGGAAGGAGGAACAAACGAGTGCACATATTCTAAAACTAACTGGTGAACCTCCTCACTAGACGGGGAACCTCTCTGCATTATTTCCCAAATGCGGTGCACAAGCACGGCACCATCCGCATGGCCAGTCACCAGCCATGTTTCATTTTTGCGCAAAGTGAAGGAAAGCATGGCAGTCACCGGGGCTTGAGACAGAGTGGCATAGTCCACAAGTAAGTCACCCTGTATGAAAAAAATAAAAATTCGTCCTGCTGAATCCCCTACTGCCACATAGCGGCTCATACCATCGTCACCTTCATGAGGAAGTACGTGCAGGCATGAAACATCGATATCGACCTTGACAGCGGAAACAAACTGGAAATGCTCCGCCCAGGCTGGCTTGTAACGGGCAATTGTCATTCCTCCCCCAGGCCCAGACCCCCCTGTTTGTGACTGTGATTGCCTGATTGCTGAGACATCAGAGACCAGATTTCTGGGCTTTCCCAAGCCCAAAGCTGCAGCGTCTTCTATCCGTGAACTTTGGGGATTCTCATTCGAATGATCAGGTTTCATATTTACCAGTTTTGCATCGAGGCTAAATTTTGACTTACGACTAATCTCTGCACCGACACTGTGGTGCCTGTGTGAAGAAACCGCTACTGGAGGAGTTTGAGAAAGTAGTTTCTGAAAAGATTGATCCAACTTGGTGATGAGATTGCTAAGCTTTTCTATCTGATTGGACTGTTCTGTTAGCAACCGTTTCATTTCGGATATCATCGATTGGTCATCACCAGCATCACCATCAACAACGTCACGAGGAATACGAAGGGTAACATCACGTGATGAAAATACTGGATTTACTGGTACATCTACCTTTTCAGGACACATATCTGTCCCTAAACCCGCCTCCCAGTCCTCGTCGGGAAGGCTGTTGGCACTTTATACTTGGCCAAATGTTGGAAAAAGGAATATAAAGAATATGAAGCATAGCCGAGGCAAACCAACCCCTGCTCCGTGCCCCCGCATTCTCAAAAATTTGTATGCCCTAATTATGCATGAGACGATTATTTTTTGTAAAGCTCACTGTCCTCTTGTCACGCTCCAGCTGCACAGTAGAACCAAAATTCCTCGTCAAAAAATTTATCAGAAAAAAAAAACCGTGAAAATTCTTTGTTCCACAACAACAAGCATCAAATCTGCAAGTTATCAGATACATATCGTGTACACTCGAGCGATATCTTCGCTAACGCAAAACCCTTGCAATTCAAGTGCTGAGCCACCTCTGGCACGATAGCAATACGATATCCTTCAGACTTTTATCAAAATAGCTTCAAAATCTTACAATAGCGCTTCTTATAACACGTGATTTCTTTGAATCCCAAAATACGACCGATACAGAGCAGAAAAGCGATGCTCATCTCTTTAGATAGCAAGCTGATTGGGTACGGCAAGCCGAACACACACAAAGAATTCAAGCTGGAAACCACGAGATGAGGGATCCCTTAAACCTCATTTCCATCATCAGATGCCGCGCCCGTGCAGCATGTGACACGATCCAGGCTACTAAAATCGCGCTTAACAAGCAGAATCCCACCCGAAAAAAAAAAAAAAAAAAAAAAAAACGCAACGAACTGGATTAACTCTCATCACACTGATTGCTGATTCGTGTCGATACAATCCACCCCAACCAAACCCATTGCAAGTTGGCACAAAACACCGAAAGTTTTGTACCACGCGTGAGGCGACAAAACCTATTAAAAAAATAAAAACTAAAAAATATTCCCGGGGGCACAAAAACCAATCAACCGACAGCCAAGCTCGGTGGATTACTCAACAATCTCAAAACCTTCAACTAAAGCACTATCTCAACAGTATACAATGCCGCTCGAACCCATCAACACAACAAGCCTCTCGTCGCTGATTTCTGAAGCTCCCCTCGAAGGCATGTGACAAGAGACGTGCACTGTAACTCCAAGCTCCAAGTTCCAACACACGTAAAGAGGCCAGCATCACGGGCAAGGTCTCCGATACGAAATCGCCCGGATCCAGGAAAAAAATATCCTCATCTCATCTTGTCTCCGATCCACACGACAGAAACCTCGCTGATTCCTCAACTGCAGTAGCAACATGCCCTGTCTAAAATCTCTGTTTATCTCAGTCCCTTTACGCCACGCTCTGTCTCTCCCCACAACTCAAACACATCTTTCAGGTGCAGTTCTTCATCAAACACCTTGCCATGAAAAAGGATAGGCAGTTGGTGTCGGAGTAAGAGGGCGTGATCCGAACGTGGGGCAATTGCGGTTGAATGACAGATGGAGGTGAGGGTCTGGCGCAAAAGACAAAAAGGTCACCTAAAACCTCGCTATTCCACTATTCGCGCGTTCGCTCGTCCTTCAAGCACGCTGCGCAACGCAGGGGCATGGATATCCGGTTACTGTGGATGGATGGGTACAGAGCTTGAAGTGGGCGATGGATGACCGAGACACTTGCATGATCTGGAGCCAATTCTGACCGAAGCTCCTATCTCATCACAATCTGAACCTCAATAAAAACTAGTTCACAACTTTTCCCAGGTAGAGAACCAAATCATTCAAAAAGATGGAAGCTACCCTGGACGTTTGGGTGACCAGAATCAGCAGCGGTGGCTTAGGCTCTCCGACGAAACACCCACTTCGTCGAACAAGCGGCATTCATCTTCTTCTCAGAGAGTTGGGTTAAACTCTTGCTGGTTTGGGAGGCTGGATTTGATGAGGTAAATGTGCATGAGATGTGCGTCAAGTGTCAGGTTGAATTATTGTTACGGTGTCTTGGTGAAGATATCATTCCAAGTGAAAGCTCAAGGGATTGTCCCTGGAGCTGTCCATCTCGAACATGCAGTTTCTTCTCCACTAAGCATTTGCTGTATCGATGTGGGCTTCTGGCTCTCTCAGGACGGCAATATCATGGTCGATTGTTTGGTTTTGAGAGACACTGTGATTTGGGTCATTGGAAATGTTGAACTTTACCACCCTTCAGGTACTCTCGGGGCTAAGCATCGCCCTGAAGATGACGCGATTGGTCAGGATTATTGAAGACAACCTCGGAACTTGAGACTGGAAAAAATCCACAAAACCATCCATTCTCTCTGGCACAATAGCCACTCTTCAAACCTTTGAGGTTTCTTCAGTAGCCTCTGATAGCCGCCACTATGCACAAAGGAAAAGGTTGGGCACTCTGCAGAAAAAACTCGAAGCCAGAAACGCAATCAGCATTTCGCACACAAAACCTAATAAGCTCAGGTTGCGACATCCAGCTAGTAGATCTCCACCGGATTTTTCTATGCGCAACCCAGTCAATCCAGCCAAGACACTTAACCTCGTGGCACCAGAACATGGTTGGTGGGGGAGCATCCCGACAGATGCCATGCTGTGTCATGGAAATACCTCTGCCGTGATCCCCAATCGAAGTGGGCAATGCGTGGGAGATCTTGGCAGAGCTTGCGACGTGAGACCTGGCATTTCGGCAAACCTTGGCCTATTTGCTTCTGCCATGGTTGCATTGTGTGCTTCCAGAGCTCCACCCAGGTCCGGGGTACTGTTGCAGATACACGGAGGCTCTTGTTGATGTTAGGATTGAATGAAGTGTTGGATTAACTACACTGATATCCGTAATTAGTGCTTACTACAATATTTGCAAAATGTGGAAATAAAACAATCACTGAGTCAAGTTACTCCCTTGGATCTTTTGTTCAGTTGAAACTCAATTGCTAGATCTTTTTGTGGTTGCATTTCACATAACAATATCTTCACTTATCAATATCTACACTGATATCTAAATAATGTGATACACAATAATTATGGGAATTAGTGTAGTTTTCTTAGTCTCTGAACTACTTGTTAGTTCCAAGGATAGTAATGATTAGTCTTTCCACTTCAGAGTCACTCTCCCACTTGTATCAGTGTGTTATTGTATTAACATATTATTTAATGATTATTTATTGTTTTATTCCTACTTGAGTGTGTTTTCTATTATGGTATCAAAGCATGATTGAAATTTTATTTACATCCTGCTTTGTTAATTTTTTAAAATTATGAATGTGCAAATGAAGGTGTATTTTTTTTAGTTGAAAATTAGGATAAAAGAGTTTGAAAGAGAACTAGTTGATCTAAAAACTAAAGAAAGAAAATTCTAGATTTATCATCATTAATAAGAACATAATATAAGTTACAAATTTCTTACATCTAAATTGATACTATTTTTAGTATTTTTAAAATTCTCAAGACTTCTCTTCTACTTGTTTTGAGTGATATTAGACATCTTCTTTCCTATATCATTATTATAGCAAAGCTTGTTGAAATCAAGAGTACAATAATACAAATGTAAGAGCAAATATACAATATAAGCTTTATAAGCTTTATAAGCTTGAAATATTTGGAATACCTCTAATTTATGCTTTAAGAAATATGTTGATGTAAATTTTGAATAATCATGAATATATATGACAAAAAAAAAACAAAGCATTTAATAGATTTAATTTGTATAAAATCACATACATTAGTGTAAATTAACTCAAGTGGTTTTGAAATACATATAGTTTTATCTTTGTAAAAAGAAACTATTTTTTATTTTTTAACTAAATAACTTTTGCATAAAAAAGATGTGATATATTTATTGGAATATTCATGTCAAACATACTCATTTCTTTCAATATATGTTGATTGACATGTCTTAAATAATGATGCCATATAATTTTTAGCTAAGGTATGTTTGATAAAATTACAAATATCAAAATAGTTGTAAAACTTCTTATATATTTGAAATTTTATTATTTTTTAATTTAATATTCATTTTTTCTTTGTAAATGACTTTATGCTCTATACCAACTTCTTTTTATATATTTAAGGGGAGATTTTAAATTTAATATGATGTAAATCACTCCTTGATTGGTATCATATAACATATTGCTTCAATGTCCAATACTAAATAAATAAATTTTTAGATTCATCTTTATTAGTAATTATAAATAAATAAGAATTATCTTATTTTGTCAAATTAGAATTAGAATTTCTACTTAAAATAATATTAGCTTAAGATTTGTATGTATATTATTTTATACATTTTTATTTTTTAAGAATAATAAGTCATGATAATGAAAATTTATCAATAATTCTTTAATAATTTGTACTACAAGTGTTTCTTCACGTATAGCTAACTGAAATAATTTCTTTTATGTTATGACTTGTATTGCAAGATTAGTTTGTTTATATGTGGATGCTAACTTATATTGTAGTTCTTAGAAGTTTTAAGAGATTTTTTCAAATTGGCTTGTTTATCACCACAATTTAATATAATATATGCTATTGCTTTAGTATCTTTAATTTTTATAGATTTTATAATGCAACACTTGCAAGGCCATAATTAGATTTGTGGCATTCACAATAGCAAAAAGATTATTTAAAATAAGAAAAATTTCTATTTTAACACTTCATAATTTGTAATTAAGAGATGATAATTTTTCTACCAAATATATCATTTAACTTGAATTTAAAGAAGCCATAATTAATTAATTAATTTGTTTCAGAAAAAGAATCAATATATATATATATATATATATGATATAAATATTTTTTTGTTTCTAATTATTAAATTATTTATAACATGAAAATCATATTTGATGCTATAATATCATGTGAAAAGATGACAAAGAAGAAAGATAGAGAGTTATATTCAATTATTGTAAAGATTTTTTTTGTTAATTCTCATAGTGTATATTACAAAGATTGATGTTAAGCTAATCTAATATGTAAAGGGACATTAAATCATGAAAAATGTTTGATTGGCTCTAGTAGTTACTAAATCGACCCATCCATCTTAGCCACCATTATACTCCTATCTTTGTTTCCATTTGTAGCTCTTATCTCCCCTCCTCCTTTCTTCTCCTATCATTTTTTATATTGAACACTATTTTTCTCTAGCTTATTAAAAAAAGGATAGATCCCTTGTACCAAACCTGGTCTAGCACCTTCATCTTTAATGCAATTTATATTTTGGTTATTATCTCCAATACGCTTGTCTTTTGGCCTATTTTGTATCTTATGATATTTTCTTGGTTTTTTTGGGATTTTTTTTTAATATAATTTTTTAAGATGAACTTCTAATTAAATAAATAAATTATTTCTAATACATGTATATATATATATATATATATATATATATATTTCTTAATTACAATTATATATACAAATAAAAATACATGCATTTAAAAAACAAAGAATCTAAAAGTTTGTATTTATATACATACACAAATGATTTTACGTGAGAAATAAAATAAAAAATAAAAATGGTAGAAGTTGAGACAACTTAAAACAACCATCTTTAATTAAAAGTTAAAATTCTTCTTATATAAGAATGTTTTTAGTCATGTGGTTACTTATGTCTATGTTGGTTGATGTCACGGCCATAATCATGTAAGCTAATAATTACATATAGAAATAGGTAGAAGTAATTAAAAGTAGATAAAAGTAAGTTAATTGTATAATATTTAATATAGAAGCTTCCTAGAAACTTCCTAGACGCTGCTTTGACTTCATAGGTGTCTTTAATTGACTTTTTGGATTAGAAACGTGGTCAACAAGTTGGCCATGTGCCACACATGTTGTTAGCTTGAAGATCAAACTAACTATGTGGCCCACACGTAGAAAAACTTGCCTTGTAAGTCAAGGCATGTGTCCTACAAAGTCAACACATATTGGAGGTCCTATAGAACGTCGCTACGTAGTCCCTAGTTAGATAGTATATATAGAGACAAGAGTGAAGGCTTCTTCACTCTTGTCAACTCCTTTCTTGCTTCTAGTCCAGGTTCAAGAGTCTTTAGTTTCTTGTCTTGTGGCAATAGCCATTCCAGTTTCCTTTTAATATACCTACTTGTTTATATTTTGACTTATTATATCGAGATAGCCTTTTGGTGTATATTTTTCCTCATCGAGTCTTTGTCCTTGACAGATTGACAAGAATACACTTACAATATCAGAGCTTTGTTTTTTCTTGAGTAAGAGTGGATTACCCCTTTCTCTTGACAAGACATAAGCGTATTAGAAGTTTGCGGATTACCCACTTCTAAACTGATATTGTTCTTAGTATCTTCTTTGTTATCAAGTCTTTCTTTTCTTTTGTCTTGAGCAATATCAAACAAATTTTTCTTCTTAGTGTCATTATGGCAGAGCTTGTTGAAATGAAGAGTGCAATGGCACAAATGCAAGAGCAAATGAGGGAGTTAATGCTTGCGATGCATCAACTCAATTCACCAACACAGGAAAGAACAAGAATAGCAGAAAGTGGAGATATAGAGATGATCGGAG